GAAACAAAATCCATCCGAGTCGAATCATGACATCCAAATGGGTCTTGACTTGGAAGGAGGACCAGGCTTCACCAACAGGTCGAAAACCGAAAGCACGACTTGTAATCCGAGGATTTCAGGATCCGGAAGTAGGGCTGATCTCGACAAAGAGTCCAACACTGTCCAGGGATGGAAGAATGATGATCCTTCAAACAGTGAGCTCACTCAAATGGCAGGTGCAATCTTTCGATATCAAAACCGCCTTTTTAAGGGGAAAAGCTGATGAGAGAGAATTGGCCGTGTATCCTGTTCCAGAATTCCAGGAGTTGCTGAATTTGTCAAAAGAATATGTTCTAGCTCTCAAGGGAAATGCGTATGGACGAGTAGACGCACCACTGTTGTTCTACAAGGAGTTTAGAAAGTGCATTGAACTCGAAGGTTTCGAAACACATCCTTTGGACAATTGCCTGTTCTTGCTGAGGAATCCAACAAACCCGACAAAGTTGGACGGGATTCTAGGAACCCACGTTGACGACGGAATCGGGGGTGGAAATCAGAGGTTTGAGCAAACACTTGAAAGAATCCAGAAGAAACTACCTTTCGGCAACAGAGAATATGGGCGATGCAAGTTTACAGGACTAGTAATTGAGCAAAGAGAAGATTTTTCAATAACGATTACCGTAATCAGGAAGACTATGCCCATCAAATCGATCCAATAGATATTCCGAAAGTCCGGAGGAAAGAACTGAGTCTAAAGTCACTAGTCGTGAATTGCAGCAGTTGAGAGCACTGTGTGGGAGTCTTCAGTACGCAGCAGTACACTCACGACCCGACATTATGGCAAAGGTGTCCTTTATGCAAAAGAGAATTTGTTGTGCAGAAATCAAAGACTTGATCGAAGCAAACAAAATCCTAAAAGAAGCAAAAGAATCTTCGAGCACGGCAATCATTGTGCAGCCGATTCCAATGCATCAATTGACATTTGCCAGTTTGGGGGACGCAAGTTTTGCGTCGGAAAGCCAGTTGAAGGCCCAGCAGGGGGTGTTCATTGCAGCATGCACCAAAGAACTAGATGAGAACCGAATCTCAGATATCACACCCATCGCATGGCACTCAAAACAAATAATAAGCAGGGTGGTGAGACCAACATTGAGTCATTGAGTGCAGAGGCTTACGCCATGTCATCTTCGCTAGATATACTCACATGGATTAGATGCATGTGGAGCATCATAAAAGATGGAGGCTTCAAATGGCAAACACCAGAGGTTTCGCTTTGCACCGAACCAAAGGCACTACTAATCACTGACTGCAAGAGTTTGTACGATCTAGTGAACAAAATGGCCACCCCAAATTGTCAGGAATGGAGAACCACGATAGAAGTTATGCTGATTAAACAACAATCGGCAGAGACCACCGAATGCCGATGGATATCAACAGCAATAATGTTGGCAGATTGTCTGACGAAGCCGATGGATTCTTCGTTTTTGAGAAAGGTGCTTGGCTTGGGAAAGCTTAGGATCTACGATGGCAGCAGTTCGTTGAAAGAAAATCCCAACAAGAAGTTTAGTGCCCGATGGATTGAAGTTCGCAGAGTTCCACTCGAAAAAGAAAGTATAGTCAATGTGAATTTGACTTGAGCACCACCAACCGAGAACCTTCAAATGGAAAGACCAACGCTCGACGTTGGCTCAAGGCCGAACAGGACAGGAGATCGTGGACGCACAAAGGAAAAGGTGAGTGGGAAGGGTGGAGGACCACTCTGTGTTTGGTAGGGTAGGATCCCTTAGATTCAGGTTTGTAGGGGCGAGGAAGCTACCAGTGTGAGTGGACAATCCATTCACAATAATACATGTATATTTATATATATATATTGCTTCCAAGCCTCAGAGTATCAAGCTTCGAAAAGCGAGGTAGCACGCTTGCTCACTTCAGGACAACGCCTTGAGCCCAAACATGTCCAAACACGTCTAAACCGTGCTGTTTCGTTCTCCTTCTCATGGGGTCCAGGTCATTAGCTCAAAAGCTGATCGCATCAACAGCTTCATCAGCGACGCATGCTATTTCCACAGTTGGCACAGCAAGCTTCCTTGATAGACTATTCTCTCGCACCAAATTCATTTTGCTGACGGCGATCTCTCATCCAATGCCCGCGATTTCAGCATCGGCATACAAAGCTCCCAGCGTATCTCGGACAGAACACGTGAGGGCCTTGCAGTAATGAACTACTCGGCTGTGACGAGTAGTTGCTACACAAGCTGGGCCAAACTTGTCTTATCTGTACCGTGTTGGCACCAGCGCCACATTGCAAAAGCTAGGCCAAAAACGACATGTTTTCACTGTGTGTGTATTGTGTTCTGTTTGTTTGTGTTCCAACTATTGCAGTGGATTGTCAGTGTCTTCCTGAGCTTAAGCTGCCTGGGGTGTTGAGTGAGCTCAGGACGTAAGTATTTTAGTCACTTGAGCAATGTCGCCATGGTTGCTGATCAGAAGGTCTCGAATGACCTCCTCGTTGGCCAGCTGAAGCTCGAGCAAATCTGCGACCTTCCGGTCCAACCTGATGGCCGATGGGACCCAGGTCGGAAAGAGAGGAACATCCCAAAGCTCGAGCTCTTCAGCATCACACGTCCAAGCTCCCAGCTCGAGCTGCTCAGCATCGCCATCAACGGCGCCGAGCTTTTCAGCTTTCACTTCCTCCTTTTCGTGGCCTTTCCCCTGCTTGTTCTTACCCTTTCCTTTGCCTTTCCCTTTGCATCTTCCTTTAGGCCAAGGAAAGAAGTCCTGAATGTTGCAAGACAATTTCACAAGACAAGGTCCGCAGCGGAACGCTTGAGCTCCTCTTACAAAATTTACAAAGCACATGCGAAGTGTCCTGTCCCTCATCGAACATTGCAGGATCCAATGCGCCAAAGGGCATGGTACCGTTGTGCAAATGATGGTTGAACCTTAGCAGTGTTTCCCTGGGGATGCAAGCTCTACTAGAAGGCTTTTCAGTAACTCAAGTCAACAAATGTCCTTGTTTTTGTAAGGACCGGGCCCAACAAGGCCCCCACCTGAGAATAAACAAAGAAGGAACAAAAAAAAAAAAAAAAAACGTCTGAACTTGGAGGTGAGGGAATTGTAAGATAGAGGACAAGTGAGTAGCCGGGCTGCGTTGGCTTAGGTTAAAGCTGAATTGATGGGCCAGAGCCAACCCCATCGCGGCTTCCATCCACCCTGGCAGGAGGCTGCAAAAAGAATTGACCAACAAAACTAGGAAGCAGTCAACACCTTCGCAAAACTATAGCATCTCTGCGAACACTCGATCCTTTAGCAACCCATCCCCTTGGAGGCCAGAACCAGCCTCCAGCACCTTTTCCGGCTCCCTCGATAAACATGAATTTGCTGCAAATAACCACACAGAGGTGTGACAAAATCGTGGAAGAAGCAGCACTGGACTCTCTCAAGACAGCAGGCCTTCCAATCAAAGTGGTACTCCCCTTTCCTTCGTACAAGTTGGATCTGCAAAATAGTCGACTGGGAATCTGCATCTCTTAAAGGCGCAGCATAATCATCGTGCAAGCTCAAATCTCTGGCGTCTGGCATCTTATGGTCGACCGAAGCTGCAAGACGGCTATGTATCTATTAACTATATATATATATGTATCTATCAAATATATATATATATATGTATTGTATAATATATATATATATATATGATGTCTTTTGTTGCCGCGAACAAGCGAACTTCTCATGGCAAAATTGAGGACCTGTCCGACCCGGAAAATTCTGACAGGGCCTGTCGTGCCTAAGGCTTGCTGCTTCTTGGGTGCCCCAACTCGGCTTTGTCATTTCCTTTGCTTCTGAACTTTCCATCTTTACCACCTGACCGTCCAAAGGACACTGACCGTCCACGGTGTCCCATCTGAGAAATGCCACAGCCCTGCCTGGAGAAATGATGCACTGAAAATCTTTCCGGCAGCCAGGACAAGTCCCGTGAAGCTGGTTCTTCTGTGGGTAGCAGTTCCCACCTCTGTTTCACCATCGGAAGGATGCGGCTCTTTGAGCCCAACAGACCTCTTCGGAAAAAAAGGCCACAGACCGGCCCCTCGGGGCGCTGCATAAGTCATATGCAGGGCAGGCAGGACACTTGAAGCCTTGGTCTAGGAGAGTCTAGGAGAGTCCAGTTATTCCAGTCACAAAACAGACTGGGTAAAGGGCGTGGGCCCACAATGGGTGCAGCCCCACACCCCGAGCAAGTGCTCCCAGGATGATGTTGCCTCAGCTTTTGTTAGGCTGGATTCCTGTGTTTGATGTGCCTCGTGTGGAATGATGGTGGGTCTTTCTTGCTGGAAAACAAAGTGCAAATGTTGAATGATCATCAAGAATGTGAATCAGGCGGTGGAACTTAAGAGCTTAAGAACCCGGCCAGGACATGCTGCACCTGGCCGATTGCCATACTGACATGTAGGCCGTCATCCCCAAAAGACAAAAAGGAAATGTGTCGAGTCTTGTTTCACACACTGGACACCAAAAGTCTGGCACAACACTTTCTTCAAGATATAAAACGTGAAGGGATGACGAAGATGCACAGCTGTCGCCAAACCATTTGCTTGTCAGGGTCTGGCCAAATGAACCAGCTGCTCAAAACTTCACACCCAGCCAGTATACACACTTTCTGTTCCTCTGCCATTGTTTTCTGAAGATCAGTCGGGTCCTCCAAGTATGGCAGCAAACTGGATGCAATACTTTCGCAAAAGTGCGTCTGAACCTGCCAGTCTCGTTGGGAGACAGGGCAAAAAAAATAAATATTAAAAAACAAAAACAGCATCTTAATGGACCCCCAAAGAGATGTTTTACAAAAGGGAAGTAATCCCCCACGCCGCTATCTATGTGTTGGCGTATAGTGCCGCGATCGTCCTTTGGGGATCAAGTTCACACCGGGAACGGTCCCCACCTCAAAGCCAAGTCCACGCAAGGCCTTCAGCATTTCAAGGATCGCTTCACCCAAGCGCCTCGCTCTTGCGCGTGCTTTCAACACGCGCCCCCGGCGCAGGCGGAGGCGGCCGGACGAAGCAACTCCCAAATCGTCTGTCCCCGAAGGCCAGCCTTTGCCCACCACGGCCACCCAGTGCCTTGGCGGAACAAGTCGTTCCCAACGGAGTTCCCAACGGAGTTCAGGAGCACCTGCCATTCTGCCCAGGCCTCGGCAATGAGCGCAGCATAGTGCTCAAGGCCGGGAGTGCCAGCCGCCTGGTCCTCTGAGGAAACCAAAAAGAGCACAGCACCAGGCCCCATCACAATCACCACTCCACATATCCCGGTCCACTGCACTTGCAGTCCTGAACAATTTCCAGCATCTTTTGGAGTGTTGCGTCCAGTCCATCACGGGCCATATGGTTGATCCTTCAGCGAACACGCCAGCCCAGCTGGGCTGCTGGGCCGGCTGGGCCGCGAGAGGAAAGAATTCAACGATACTGAGGGATAGACTTGTCAACCTTTCGTGCCACACGTTGAGTCAGCAAAGGAAGCCATTGCCTGGCCAAAAGAGAGGCTGGTATTTCTTGACCATTCAAAGGACAGCTTTTTGAAGCATCTTGGCAAGCGAAGCCAGCAACACACTGTGAGGGAGGCAAACATTGCAGGTGTTAGCATGCCGGCTTCCTGAACAACTCATTGTCTGCTAAGAAAATAATCATAGAAAGGACAAGGATTGCGAGGACAAATCAAAAGTCTTGCTCAAAAGTGCAGCATTTGGCGCACTCGAAGCATGCGTAAAGTGCTCAAAAGTCGACGTGGACCGCCACCGTTGCCACCCGGACCTTGGAAAAAGAACGACGCGAAGCTGCTGTTGACATGGCAAAAACGTCGGGGAAAAAATAGAAGCGAGAAATCCTGCTGTTTGAGGTCGGCACCCCAAGCTCCTGGACCACTGGAGAAATCGCGGTCCTGGTCCTAAAATCGAGCATGTTTTCCAAAGGCATTTTCATTACATGAAAAACATCTGACGTGGGTTGAAATCAACCGTCCCACACCTGCCACATTGACATGAAAAGCACTTCAGACTTCAATCCCACGCTGGGACCCAAAACTTTTAGAGGAACCCAAATGAAAAAATGCCAACTCATGTGTGTCTAGTCTATTTCAGAATGATGATCTTGCACACTCATGAGCTGACCCAGGAGTCAAGAAGAATTCTGCCTCCTTTTCCAGACCGGGAGGCGGCCCTTGAGGCCTTAGGCACGCCAAGGGTACATGCAGCCAGTGGCTACCCCACTCAGGGTGACCAACAGGATCTCAGGATTGGTGACTTTGTGCGACATCACATGCGACACGGTGGCTTTCATGCAAAAGAGGAAATCCCACGACTGGTAGTGAAAGGGACCTGCATTCACTGGTCGAAAAGGTCAACTGCAGTGGAAAATCGTGTGATGGATGCAAGCACAAAATCAATCAAAATCACATGTCCAACAAACAACATAGAAGGTTCCAAAAATATCTTTGCAAGCATGTTTGATTCACATCCAGCATCTCTGCTTTGGCGAAGAGCCGTCCGCATGTGTCACATCTCAGAGCCGTGCGGTGTGTCGGACTTGGCAGCTCTGCGTCAGAAAGTGTCTTCCTGTCGGAGTCGAGCTCAACGAGTCGAGTTCCACGAGTTGCTGGGACATGGTAGTCCTGACTGCTGGCCAGGTGGTCCCCGGAGTGGCCCGTCCTGTCCAACTCGGGAGCTCTTCTTGGCATATCCTCCTTCTCGGGAGCTCGACCAGAGCACGGCATCTTTAATCTCAACCTGGACAAGCAGGCCAGTGATGATTAGCGGGGTCCCTCCCATCGCAGCAGGCCATCGCGCCAAGAGGCTTGAGCAACCGACTGTTCTGGGCCCTCTGCCTGAGAGCTCAGAACATCTCAAAAGTCAAAGACTTCACTTGTAGACACCCAAATAGATTTAAAAAAAAAAAAAAAAATCTGGAAGTGTATTGCAAAGTGTGCCAATCAGTTTTGGAGGATCTGTAAAGGGGCTTGAAGCAGCTATGTTCCTGACATACAGAGGAAATCTTCAAAGGTGGCTGGGGCCAGAGTGCAAAGATCCCCTTCATCATCCGCCTTGGACCAAGGTGTCACCAAACCATGGCTGGGAGAGTCTAAGAGGACCGGAAATCGGAGACCTGTCCCGATGGCTGAGTTCCAAAGCAAGACCGAATTCCGCGTCTGACCATCAGAGTAGTACCGTCCCCGGCTACTTTTGGTGCTTTCCCAAGGTCCTCTGTTTCGCGCTCACAAGGTCCCGACATACTTCAACGCACAATTGCTGTGGCTCAGGAAGGCCTGCGCCTCAGGACCTGAAAGTCCAGGACTTTAGAAGCCAAACCTTACGTACAACTCTTACACACAGCCAAGGTGTCGACAGCAGCTGGCAACGAGTTGAACGATAGTTTCAAAGCTAGGCCTTAATCTCTTCTTCCCGATCTTCTACAAATCGTTCGATCCTCTTTCCGTAAAGTAAACACTCAAAAACGACAGAAAGAACGCAATCTTCACCTCTGGGGCACCAGCTCTTCTTGAAGAGTCAGTCGATATATCTCTCCATCGTCACATTGGACTTTCACAACCGTCTGCCGTGCAAGTTCAAATCACAAGCAAAATTGACAACTATGAACTGCGTGAACAACAACCACAAAAGTTGTCCTCTTAAACCGCCCATGCCAAGCCATGCCAGCAGCGCCGTGGCCATCTTTCAGCAGAAAGTACCACAGCACTCCTAAGTTCATATGTTGGATCTGGTTTCACCTGATTGCCTTCAATGTCACTCCAAGAACTTCATCAACACATTGACATACAATAATTCACCTAAACTGGTGCAGGTGCTACCCATCGTCTTTATATAGAAGTTTGCTGAAAGTAAGGAAACAAAAACAAACGAGTTCCACACAGTTTGGGCAATGACAAAAGAAACTCCCGAAAGAAGTTGTTTCGCGTCTCAATTTCAACCCTGCGCCCGCGCCCTGAGGATTTTCCGTGGGTGTAACGCACCTCCCGTTCAAATGCAATCGAGCCTCACTGTGTCAAATTTACAGCTCACTTCAGGGCAACGCCTTGATCTAGAATATCACGGGGTTCATTGCTTTCTTCAGCAAATGTCGGCACCTTGTTTCAACCAGATGCATACTTGCAATGATGCTCACATGCCACAATACGTTCTTTCAAGCAAATATGGCATTATCTGCACGACAGGCCCAACAGAATAGCCGTTTCATTTGGCGCCATCAACTGTTTGCCCCTGTCAACTGTCAACTGACATGGATCGAATGATCAAGGTCACCTGTCATATGATTGGAACAAAAAAAGGCACTGTTAACAGAATGAGGATGTACCTGAGAAAGCCTTTTTTGCACGGGTGGAGACGCCATGTGTGCAGAGGTTGCACAGGTCATCTTATGCTAGTGAAGTGAGAGTCACAAACCAGGTTGAGGTGCAGAAAGAACCAAACAAACAACACAACAAAACCAAACCAAAGCACCAAACCACACAAACCCAAAAGCAACCCCAACCGAAAACAGCAACCTGGTATGTAGCTCAAGCAGCCGTGTCGGCCAAATAAAGAGAAGGTGAAACAGGGGCAATGAGTTCAGCACCGGCTCTCAGTTCATCTTGACCACGAGGTAGTGTTGATGCATGCTTTGTTCAGGTCTCACACCTTTCGAGGTTCATCCTTGCAGACAGCGGAACGACCTGAGTCAGGACGCCGTGGACAAGATTGCATTTGGTAAGCATTGTAGGCCGATGCATTTACGGGTATCTAGCGACTTGCAAGACATGTAGGGATGTTCGCTCTCTTGCATTGAGCCGGCCCCAAGGAAAACCACTGCGAGATGCTTCCGAAAGCTTCAAACTGCCGAGAACACACCAACAGTGCAGCCGATATCAATGTAGTTGCGAAGCAAAGCACTCCCTACGACAATTGCCAACTCCTCCCTAGAGGGGAGGTGACTCCAATTGCTGCGGGAGTGCTGCTGTACACAGCGAAACACAGTCTTCGAAAGCCTCAGCACTGATTTCGGCAAGGTGCTTTGGCAAGGACATCTGTGCCAGCGACCGACAATGCGAGAAGACTTGCGTGTGCACAATGTTCACCTGTGTCTGTTGCGGCAGACAAAGTCCAGCTCACAGCAAAACGTACTGCTTTCTCCTATTTCGGGAAGTTGCTCCAACACTGCATTTTCGAATTCCTGGAGACGGTCCAATTCCTGGAGTTCGACAGTTAGCTGGGTCTCTTCTCCTGCCAATGTGGCTAACATCAAGTAGATAGTCATTGATCTTTCTTCGCTCCATTGCGAGGTGGACACTGAAATGTGGTCTGCTATCATGGTCAAAAGTCCACTGCACAGCAATGCGCACCTGTTTTCGAGCCAAAAGGTCCTGCGGCAGACCTCAATCAGGCTTGCTTTTCTGGCTACTGCCACTGGTTGAGAGCGCTTCACCAATGTTGGGGAAAGGACAAACGCACGGGCAGCCATCAGTGCGATGGCACTGTTTCACTATCTCGACCCCCCCAAAATGTGCGCCTTCTGGTGCCCTGACTACCCCGTGCGGACAGATGGTATATCCCTCCAGGAATGGACAGTGCTTGACATCCCTCGAAGGCATTGGCCGCCACTTGTAGGCGGCGTCGGCCTGCCTTTGTACTGCGACAGGTGAGGCAAACTAGCTTGCACCCTGCAAAGGCTCTGTGTCCAGGGTGTTTTGGTTGGTTTTTTGTTTGGTTTGGGGTTTGCTTGTGTTCCTTTCCCCACCATCATTTTGTGTTTCCTTTTCCTTCAATGATGACCTGGGCACTCCGCCCACACGGCGTCCGCACTTGTGGAAAAAAAGCAACTAACCAGGGGTCAGATCATGGGATGTGCTTTCGCGCACTGCAAACACTTGCGATCCCTGTGGCTTCCACACAAACTCCGCATGATTGAGCAGGAAGCCTTCCTTAAGTGCTCCTCTCTAACTGAGGTCAGCCTGCCACAGACAGAGAGAGAGAGAGAGACACTAAGATGCGAAAGTCTCCTGTTGCATGCAAGGCCCGGGTGAAACCAGTGAAACGTGGACCTATCCTAGCATGGTACTTGTGCCCCTTTGTACAGCAATGGTCATGGCTTGGCCGCTGCAAGGAGAATTAAGGTTCCCCCTGGCAACCTTCCATTACCATTCTCTACCACCCGCCTCTTAGGAGCGGAAGCTAAGGCTCTCATTCCTACAGGCTCACTGTA